GTCTCCAGCTCCTGAAGAGCGGCTGATACCACAGGACCACTGCAGGAATGGAGAGTGCCCCTGCTGTCCTCCAGCGGTGTTCATCAGAGGGAGGATATGTTCCTCTGAGAGTCTTGAGGAGCCTTTAGCCAAGCCCGCTGTGCTTTCCTGTGGGCTGTTCTCCTCCTGCAGCTCCGTTCTTTATGCAGTCCACAAACCCCAATCAGACTCTTCTACACCCAGTCCGGGGTTCTGAAACGAACTGCTTTAGCCCTGATGTGGGGTTCAGGAGTGTGGAGGGTGCAGTGCCTTCTGTCTGCTGTGTCTGATGGAGATCTGCTGGTTTGCTGGATCTTCCTCAGTTTGCCTGTGTCATCACAGCAGTGTTTCTCCTGCAGAGTTCATCTCCATCCGCTCCAACACAGTCCTGCAGTCCGTCTGAAGGCCTGATCCGCTGATTCAGAAGCTCTTCAGCAGCAGGTTTACCCAGGTCACACAGGAGCACCAGTGGGATCAGCAGATGAGCTTCAGCTTCTCTTCTGTGTGGATCCACTGAGCTTTGCTGATTCCCAGATGAACACTTCAGTAATGCAGAAGCACATGCGGCTCGCTCAGAGCTGATCACACCTGACCTGTGTGGCTCGTGTTCACAGCGTTCGCTTCAGTGCTCATTTGTCAAGTTCTGCTGTCAGAGGTTGTGAATGGTACCACAATGGAGAACCATACTGTTCCACTTTTTGGGGCCTTTTCCTTAGGATACCTCGCCCAACAGTACAATAGTACAGGGTGGAACTAGACCGTTTAATAATACAGTAATGACATGCGGCTTGAAGATGTCCTGACACTGCATGTGTCTGACTGTCAGAAGAAGGGAGCATCTGTTGTGTCCTCCACTGCTGGGCCTTCCAGGGTACACCACACCTGCCTAGTAAGGGTGCTACTGGAAATACAAGCCTGATCAGGGAGACCTGTACCAAAGTGTGCTGTACTACACTACACTATACAGAACTGTACCGCTACATGTAAATGATCCGTTGAACCGTGACACCACCTGGTGTTGTGCAGCCGGGGCATCACCCTGGAGTCAGGCCTGTCAAATGCAGGTGTCTGCTGCTGGGTTAAACCCCACAGAACCCAGCTGGCTTCAGCCTGAAGGAGCATTGCGAGACCATCGAGAGGGTCGGTGCCAGGTGTATTTCCTCCTGTTCCTTGATGTTGGAGCAATCTTCCCATCCACAGCATCATGGTATCCTCTCCTCCCTCCAGACTCCAGCTGTGTGTCTGAGCAGGGTCAGTCCCTCGTTTCCTGCTTATGCCTTGTGGTAATGTGGATCTGGGGTCTCCGGCCCTGCAGACTCCAGCACACCTCCAGGATCTTCTGTAGGCGGGCTTGATTCGGGCCTGGACATGAGCTGTTTTGGGTTTGTGTGTCTGCTGTTCCTCTGTGGAGCTCCGGCTGTGCTCCTCTGATTGGGGAATCTGTGAGAATGGTATAGACGGAGGTCAAAGCCCGTATGAATGTCCACACCCACCCCGACCCTAAACCCAACCTCACGATCTGCTCCACCTACACCACCTAAACCCAGCCTACCTGTGGTGTGATCCATCTCACCTGGAGGTGTCTGGGCTGCTGTGATGCCTACTCGCAATCTGCACACTAGCCCTGTGTGTCCCTCATGCCCGTCGAGTGTGTTTACTGCACATGCGGAGTGTGTAACAGACGAGAGTCTTGATGGCTGCTTCACAGACGAGTGTTCAATGCTCATATCAGCCTGATGTTATATTGGAGATGTAGTGCACACACACACACACACACACACACACACACACACACACACACACACACCCCATCAGAGAGCGGTCAGGGCCTCCTGCATGCAGATGTGTATGTTCGGTCAGCTTGGTGTCCAGACGTGCGGAGTGTGTTTGACTGTGCGTGTGTTTCTCGCCAGAGCGATTGCGGTTGAGAAGGAGCAGAGGCAGAGGTCAGAGGTGAGTGAGAGGTCAGAGGTCACGCACTCCTCAGTGATCGATGTCTGTCCCCTTTACTTTCATTCTGTCCAACTATTGTTTCTCCTGCAGGGTATGCCCAGTGCACGAGTGTGTAAGAGTCTCTCATAGGCATAGCTCTGATCAAGACAGAGCCCGAGTGTGTGTGTCAAAGTGTGTGTGTGTGAGTGAGTGAGAGAGACTGTGAGAGTGTGTCTGTATAATTGAGAGACTCTGTGTGTGTGTGTGTGTGTGTGTGTGTGTGTGTGTGTGTGTGTGTGTGTGTGTGTGTGTGTGTGTGTGCGCATGTAGGTGGGTGGGTTGGTGCATAGCTCTGTGTCCTGAACTGACTTTGTGTTGCTCTGGTGTCTGTGTGTGTGTGTGTGTGTGTGTGCGTGTGTGTGTGTGCGCGTGTAGTTGGGTGGGTGGGTGCATAGCTCTGTGTCCTGAACTGACTTTGTGTTGCTCTGGTGTGTGTGTGTCTGTGTGTATGTTTGTTTATGTGTGTGTGTGTGTGTGTGTGT